AGTTATCTGACAGTACTTTGGCAACTTCATGATGTCTTCAGAACAACCGATAAGACATTCTCAGAAGATCTCATGTGTCAACTGAGTATACATAAAATAAGACCGTTAGTTAGGTATCTTTGTCTCAAGTCATTTAGGGATTTGTACGTCCAACTTTGAACAAGGCATGGTAGTTAATAAGCAGCCAGTGCAGTTCTTTTAATCCACATTTAATATGTGCATATATAAAAACTCAACTGAGCATCCTAGCTGCTGCATTCTGCAGTAGCATCAGCTTCTGCAACAGATGCAGTGAGGGCAGCCTTACATAGAATACATTACATTAGTTTAATCATTTGGTTACCAGTACATGGACCATAGTAGCTATACTATACTTATTCAGGAACACAGTTGGCTCACCAGTAGAAGTTGGTAATGGGTGCTCTGAACCAGTGAGGGCACCTGGACCTCTGGTGTTCCCAAATGCAGCTCTGTGCTTTGCATTTGAATGAATGGCACAATCCTCCTACCTGGGAGAATGCACAGGGCTGCCTACATTCATAGAAACATAGAAATAGAGCGAGTCAGAAGGGGTTTCCCGGGCCATCTAGTCTGACCCCCAGTTCCAGCCGACTCCGCTCACAACATGCCCACCATGTGCATGTCTAGCCTGTCCTTGAACACCCTCACCTCAACTCGCTTGCCTTCCAGAAACCTATCCCAGGAGACTTTCCCCAGTCTGGCCTTCAGTTGGCCAAAGTTGGCCCTCTTGAAGTCCCAGCTTCTAGTGCTCGACCTGCAGCATGTCCCATTTCCCTGATCTCAAAGCAAAGGGTGGAGTGATCACTCGCATCCAGCACTCCCCTAATCTGTACATCATCTATCAGATCCTCCCTGTTGGTCAAAACCAAGTCAAGGATTTTGGACCCTCTGCGTGAAAAACCCTCCCTCTATAGCATCTAGGAAGTGACGTGATCTGGCCGTCACCGCTGAGTGAGTCTCCCAACTAATATCCGGGAGATTGAAATCTCCCATAATTACTGTGCCCCTCCCCCGAGATAGCCTTAGAATCTGGCCTGTCAGAACATCATCCAGGGTCTCAAGTTGACCTGGAGGGTGATAACATACCCCCACTGTCATGTCCCTTTCCCTGTCAAAACCCCTAAGTTTCACCCAGACTGCCTCTACTGAATGCCCATCTGTGCTGCATTTTATCTCACTGCATCCTATCCTTTCCCTGACATATAAAGCTGTTCCCCCACCCCTCTTTCCTTTCCTGTCCTTTCTAAACAGGTGATACCCCTCTATGTTTACGTTCCAGTCTTGCCTTTCATCCCACCATGTTTCTGTGATCCCCACCAGGTCATACCCTCCTATTCCCAGGAGAGCTTCAAGCTCTTCCCGCTTATTACCCATGCTTCTAGCATTGGTGTACATGCACCTCAACTCTTTTCCACCACTTCCTTTCTTTGGAGTCCCCAGCCTCCTCCTTCCTGCCATCTTCCCTGAAACCTGGCCTCTCTTTGTAGGAGTCCTGTCAGTCCTTGCAGTACCTCTAAAACCTTGCTCCCAGAGCCCTGATCCCTTCCTCACACTTGTCCAGTGCAGGTAAGTATCTGGGGAGTCTGCACCCCCCCCCCCGGCTCAGTTTAAAGTCTTCTGGACAAAGCTCGATAGAGCTTTTCCAAAGGACCTTTTCCTCATCAAGAAGAAGCATGGCAGCCACTCAATGGCAGCGGCTTGGCCACAGAAGGCCGCGGCTCCTGCACCTTCGCTCTCTGCTCAGTTTCAGAGAATGCCTACACTGGCTCAGAGCTTTCAGACTCACTCAGAGATTGTTTTCTCCGAGCGAGTCCTAAAGCTCTGAGGCGAGCCAGGTAAATGCCCATGGTAGGCCGTATCCAGTCCGTGGGCTGTTGTTTGAGGACCCATGAAGCCTAAGTCCCTTATGCTCTTTCCAGCTAGCCCAAATACCAAGAGCCTCAGTTTCCTTTGAACTTTCAAACAAGTGCTGAAAAACCAGCCCTCTTTTTTTTCACTTGTAAAATAAATACTGAAAAATAGATTGCCTCTTTATCAGAAAAAATGGTTTCCTTTTAAACAGTTCTACAAGCCTAAACTTCAAAGAACCTTCCCAGCCATGTAGATGAGCAGTTCTTCCACCTCCTCTGTGTGTGTGTGTGTGTGTGTGTGTGTGTGTGTGTGTAGATTCAGTAGATCACAGGCATCAACACCTGTCTTCTAATTTGATTGACAATCAAGCATTCACTCACTTTATAACTATAAAGTAAGAAACCATACAAACAGCATGTTAACTAGAATAGTAGATTCTGTTTTTTCTATCCATCTATCTATCTAAAATCACTGGACTAAAGTTGTCTTCAAAGTCCATAATGTTTCCAGTCAATTCAAGACATTATATAGAGCAATTATATGGTTATAAAAGCTGAAGCACATGCAATAATGGCATGAACTCTTGGGGCCACAATTTGCTTACAAAAAAATAAAAATCTGAATTTCTGCTGTTTGAGATTGCTGGTAGAACACATACATGCAAGCAGACAGAAGTGATGAAGGAGCTTAGACATAAAACAATCATGAATGGGAAAACATTCAATTTGGGTAGTTTTCTTTAAAGAAGATTCCTATAACACCCTCTAATCCATTAATGGTTCAGGAACACTGGTCTTTCCAGTATATCTGTCCTTCAAATGATAAAATGGGTCAATCAGACAGAAAAGGTAGCTGCCAATAAACAAAAATAACTTTTTGAACTCTAATTTAATACAAATTATATCAGTTATTTGTAAAAAAAATTACCAAAGAAAAATAATTGGCAACTAGCATTTTTATATCTAGATTCTGACCTTGAATAATTGGTCTTCAAGCCCAAATTTATGAAAATTATATTATTTTTTCTAAAAATTCAAACATGCTAGCCTTTGGCTTTCATCAACAATACCCACATTTGCAACCAGGTTTGTTCAAATAGAGCATGAATATGCATTAAGTTTAATCATGTTTGTAAGCTAAAAAGTATTTGTTAAATGTCACTGACTCCTGATTTTCCAAATGTACATGACTTTTTTTAAGGTATGGTAGTTAGATCTCTAGTATTTGTTCACTGCAGTTCCAACAGCTCCTGGCTAGCAGATCAAAGAAAATCAATTATGATCCCATAGGATTGCAAATTGTGATCACTATCTTGACACACCATGAATAATAGTGCCTGAGATGAAATCCCCACCATTTATCATTTGTACTGAAAATATTAAAGGCCAAATTGTTTTGTTTCTAAAAACTCACAACTGAGTGCAAAAGACTAAGGCCATTCATACTGAAAAGTCATTTAGCATATTTTTTTTTCTTTTTTAGGAAAGTGAGTCAGATGAATAGGGACAGCTGCATACTAACTACAGCTTATTAAGGTATTAAAGGAGAGTGCAAAAGATACCACAGTACTGATATGAATAATTCTGCCTGGGGAAAATGGTTCTGTGCCCTTTAATGCAGCCTGATCAATAATAATGACAGCAGCAATCTAGTCAAAGTGCAGCAAAAGAAAAAAAAATGTGAGTCCCTCTCTAGCACATGACATGGATTTAGCAGGAAAGAAATCTTAACTGTCAGACTTAAAAGGTATGAGGTAGGAAAAGGATTTTTAGTGAATAGAAAATGCAGTACTCACCCAAAATATCAAATTGAAAAGGAACATCATGTATTTCAAACAACACAAGCAGCCTCTTGCCATGCTGCACTTCTTAAATTCTAAAAGGAAAACAAATGATAGATCCAAGTAAAAGACCACATATTTGCTGCCTTTGGGTGCTTTGTATTTGTCATTTTTTAAACCAGTTCCAGTTCCAGCTGTGTTGCGGTTCTCTGTAGGTGATCCAGTAGTACCATAGAAAGCTCCAGCACTGAAGCCTCGACCAAATTGCCTGCCTGAGGTAGAAGGTTTAACAAAGTCTGAGTCCTTGCTTTCCAAAGATGGACTCCGATGAATTGAGGAATCCTCACTACTTGACTTCTCCATGGTCTTTCTTTGCATAGTCGTCAGATTTAATGTCTACCATCTCTCAAAATTCAGCATAGTACCTCATGTTAACTCCACCATTCACATGAAGCAGACGTCCCTTATCTTCACCCTCTCCCTATTAAATCCAACAACCTAATGCAGATTTCTATTATGACATTCCCTGCATTGCCTCCATTCCTTTTTTTTCTCTCCACCCTTATAGCAGTGCAGGCTGTCCTATATGAATCAATAGAGTGGAGTTTCTTGCCAGCATTTCATGCAACAGCATTTCTCAGTCTGTTTTGCCAAATCAGTTATGCATAACTTAGCATTTTATTCAAGAGGGCTGTGAAGTTCTCCCCCACAACCACTCCACATTCAGTCAGTTCTGATCGATAGGCAGCAAATGATCCTTCTATCCATTTCCAAAGGGTTTTTGATTTTTCAGTACACCTGTACAACATCCAGCATGCACATTCCTTCCTTCCTTTCTTCCTTTCTTCCTTCTCTCTCAGCTCTTCCGTTTCCCTCTTTATTCTGACTGCTCCTCTCACACATGCAGATTATTTTCTCTTCCTCTTTTCAGCCTTTTGCTGTATTTCATTTGATATTCAGCTACTAGGTCACTCTTTCTCTCTCTCAGCAGTTCACTGCTGCCAATGTGAGATCATCAGGAACCGCTATGTATGGGCATTTCCCACAGTAATTCTTGCTCTAAAACGGTATCAAGTCATAAATCCTCCTTTTTCTCAAAGATCCTGCCCCTTCTGCTTTGCACTAGCCAATCAAAATAAAACTTCTACCTCTTACACGAGAACCTATTCCCTCCTCCATGACATAAGATCCTTAATAGGATTATCATTACTCTTTCGACTATACAACTCCACAAGAAAATCACTTGAAAATGTCAAGCCTGCTTATCATTTATGAGCTTGAAATGTAAAGGGGATGATAATGTAAATAAGAGCTGCAAAAAGACATAAGATATCAGTGCATTTGTCACATTCCTTCTTAATTAAATTGATAGCAAATATTTATGTTTTAATTTCCTGCAGCCTAAAACAAACATCACAGGACAAGCAGTTTGTCATATGGAATTCAGACATAGTTGCCATGCTGACTAAATAAATCCATGTGACAAATTTAACCATAAAACAAAACTCATGGGATTGCATCTAAGGGTTTCCTTTTTCTGGAGGGAGTAGTCTTCCTTTCAGGAAAGACTTGTGGAAGGTGGTTGCCTGCAGAGGAAAGCTTTCTCTATCTGTAGAAGTTCTGAAATTTCTGAACTTTATTCTTGAAATGAAATCATGATTACCATTAATTATTTACAATCCCATTCATCACTTAAATGGAATTAAATGCAAATGCATTGCCAACAATAAATTCAATGATTTAAAAAACCCCTACCAGTTTACAATGAGAGTAAAGGCTCAAGCTCTACAAAGTAAAGAAACTGAAAGCTATGACTGATACCTTAACTAATTGTGCCCCATGATTTAAAAAAAAAGATGCTGTACAATGTAACAAATTGTGCTTGCTTACAATGTACCCTCCATGGGTCCACAACCATTTGGGGGGGGGGGGGAATCAACAAACATGCTGTATATTATTCTTGTCCTGTGTTGCCTTACGAAATACCTAGCTCTATCACTGTTTACTCCATCTTGCCAGCTACTTATGTAAGTCACAAACTAGCATAGGTCAATTCATGGAAGGATTCCTTTAGCAGAACGTTAAGACTCAGATACTTCATAAGGTAATGCAGGACAAAGACATCATATGGCATTCATGAAGGCATGAATGCATGAAGGATGAGCTGCAAAGTGAGTGCAGTATGTGACACTGAACAACATTGTGGGGCACGTCAGCTAGATGTCAGCCGTAGTGTCCAATTTCCTGGTTTTGTGGAGTCTGAGAAAGCCTAAGAACTGGTCTGAAACTAGTAGGGTTTATTTTGTTTTATTATGTATTTATTTAAAGATTTTCTATATTGTCAGTTATTAAAAATCTTATAATTACTCCATCTTGCCAGCTACTTATGTAAGTCACAAACTAGCATAGGTCAATTCATGGAAGGATTCCTTTAGCAGAACGTTAAGACTCAGATACTTCATAAGGTAATGCAGGACAAAGACATCATATGGCATTCATGAAGGCATGAATGCATGAAGGATGAGCTGCAAAGTGAGTGCAGTATGTGACACTGAACAACATTGTGGGGCACGTCAGCTAGATGTCAGCCGTAGTGTCCAATTTCCTGGTTTTGTGGAGTCTGAGAAAGCCTAAGAACTGGTCTGAAACTAGTAGGGTTTATTTTGTTTTATTATGTATTTATTTAAAGATTTTCTATATTGTCAGTTATTAAAAATCTTATAATGGTTTACAATTTAAAAAATAGGTCAAGCAATAAAACATTAAAACTCCTTAGTGCCAGTACTTATGGTAAAATAGTTAAAATACCATTTGACAATTTAAAAAACTGGGTAAATTCAAAAGTTTTGGTCTGCCACTGGAAGAAATGAAGCGTTGGCAACAAGGACACCTCTCTAGCAAGCAAGTTCCATAATTGGGGCACTATAGCAGAAAAGTCCCTTCTCGTATTTATCACTGAATATGGTGTGTGCATCAAATTTTACCACAGGAAAAGATGGTATCAGAAATCTGGAAAATTGCACTGAGGATTTTAGCTTGTTCCAAGTGATCCTGGACATTTTAATTGCTCTTTTATTTTGATGGATTAATATAAACTTCAGATATCTTTTTCATGTTAGCTAGGTTCAAGATACATTTTTAAGATTAAGAACATGAAGAGCTGCTACTAAACCCATATTTTTGTATGAGAGCGCTTTGAACATTTAAAATCTAGGCAGATAACTAAATATTTAAATATATTTTAGCTTCTGTTGTTGGGGTGGGGGGGGAGTTTGCATTTTAGTAATGTTCAGACAAGCATTTTAGTAATGTTCAGCCAGTTGAATTTCAGATGGTGTGTTTCCGGTAACTGATTTGTCTTTTTAATTTAATATTATAAAATATCCCTGAACTGAATTTTACCTTTCCTGTATAGACTTAAATATATTTCAGTCTATATAATAATTTTCTCTTCATATACTGACATGACATCTAAACTTTACCGTTTCTTAAAGTTCTACGTATTTAATCTCTAGCAAAAGTCCATTATTTTTATTGGAAAAGGAGTAAGGATGAGGAAGCAGGGAGTGAGGTTGATTTCAGTATGGTGTGCACAGAAACACAGTGCATCCTCATGGTGTCTCCATCAGTACAGTTAACCCTGCTTCAGGCATTTGCTACAAGCAAATAAACAAGGCCATGTGGTTCCTTATACAATATCCCCAACCCCTTCCATTTTTTATTTCAAATGCAAAGAGTCAAAGTGAGATGAACCAAAACCTGGTTCCTGAAACTGGATTATCATTTTAAAGTTTCTGTCAAACCTAAACTAGAACAGAAGCTGAAGAAACACTCACCAATTAATACTGGTTAAGAATAAGAATACTGAGGCATATGTAGAGATGATGGACCCTATTGCTGCACAGCCTCCCAGCAACCACTCTCACTGCAGCAAGCACCATTTATTTATTCATCTATTTAACCATTTATAGCCTTTCAAGAAACTCAAGTCATTTCCTCTTCATCTCAGTCTTATCTTCACAACAACCACCCTGTGAAGTAGGTCGAGCTGTGTCTAACCCTAACCCTGACTTATGGTTCCAATGGGTTTCCAGTGGAGTTCTTTGGCCAGTTCTGCTAGTGATCCTGTCAAGTTCCTGGGCACAAAATGGAAACAGGAGCTGACTTACGGCCAATTACTCCTGAACATCCTGTCCATCCTGCTTCCAAAAGAGCTACCTGGTATAAAGAGGACCTCTGATATATAAAGCAGGAAGAAGTGGAGTGCCTATGGCAGAAATCTGGGCTCATCTCTAACAAACACTTTATGAGAGATCATTTTCACTTCTATGGGGTGATAATATAAACAGCAGAGAGGGGGTTTCTCCTCTATTTGTATTCATGCCCAGCAGGGCTGTTTAGGATGGTAAGGGGCTTGTCTCAACCCCAATGCCTCCTAACCTAGCTTTAGTGTCATCAATTGCCCACTGTGACACTGCAACCATTTTGCAGGTGAAAGGGGGAGATCAACACAGAGGTGTCCATCAACTCCATGAATGGCATTATACTGCATCAATTTCAATTTCTAAATCCTGATGACACTGACAGGCTGCTTGGACTGGTGAGAAAAACAACCTGCCCACTTTTTCCATGTTCATCTTGGCTGGCAGTCCAGTGGCTGGAAACATTGAGGGAGCTATTATGTTATATCATCAATGCTTTCTTCAGGAAGGGTAGGGTTCCTGACTGTCTGTAGGAGACTATTGTATGGCCCCTCCTTAAGAAACCCTATGGACCTTAACAACTTCATACCAGTCACGAATATATGATTTCTTTGCAAGATAATCAAGAAGGCAGTGTCTTTCCAGCTTAAGGCAGTCCTGAATGAAATTGACTTTCTGGGCCCATTTCAAACAGGAATTTCAAGTTGACTTCAGAGTGGGATATGGAGTTGAGACTGCTTTGATCACAGAGGCGGATGATCTATGATGCAGAATTGATAGCAGTCCCTCTTGGTTTTCTTGGATCTCTCAGCAACCTTCAAGACTACCAACGATGGTATACTTATTGATCATCTTAGGGAACTGAGAATTCAAGACACCGGTTTGCAGTGGTGCTGTTCCTATCTCTAGGGTCAGTTTCAGATAGTGAGACCATTGCTCCTATAAAAGGAGCTGACTTGTAGAGTTCCACAGTGCTCCATTCTGTCTCCAATGCTGTTTAACATCTACATGAAGCTGCTGAGAGAGACCATCTAGAAGAATGGTGCTAGATCTCATCAGTATGATGCAGACACCCAGATCAACTTCTCTTTACCACCATCTGTTGCTGCTTCTAGAGAAAGCATCTCCACAATGAATAACTGCCTGAAGTTGATAATGGGCTGGATGAGGAAAAAAAGCATATTGAAGTTGAATCTAAGCAAAATAGGGCTGCTTGCTATTAAGGGTCTGAATCATAGAAACATAGAAACTGAGCGAGTCAGGAGGGGCCTCCCAGGCCATCTAGTCTGACCCCCGGCTCCAGCTGGCTCCACTCATGACATGCCTACCATGTGCACATCTGGCCTATCCTTGAACACCCTTACCGATGGGGCTTCAACCACCACCAATGGAAGCCCATTCCATACCTTCAGGGTCCTAACTGTCAGGAAGCACTTCCTAACATTCAAATTGAACCTTGGATCCCTGAGGTTTGCTCTGTTGGAGCGTGCCCTGCCTTCCTCTGCA